ATTTTACTTTTGTGTGCATATAAAATTAGCATAGTATGACATTATGTATATGTTTCAAATTTAATCATAAACCTATGATCAAGAACCCTGAAGATAACTAGGCTAAATAAAATGGTGGTGTGTATTGTGTGAGGGAGAGAGAAAAAAAGAGGCAAAGACAGAGACTTGTAACATGGCAAAAGACATTAATTTTCTAAATGACCATGGAATGTCTTGTTTTCTCCAACCACGGTGATTGGAAGTTTTTCTTGGTGTAGTAGCCTGGGCTGGTATCTCTGTTCTCTGAGACTCTTCAGGGCATCTGTGTAGTCCCTTCTGGTGTTTACAGTCTCCATTGAGAAGTCAGATGCTATTCTAATAGTCCTGCCTTATATGTAACTTGGCCTTTATCCTTATCACTTTTCATAGTCTTTTAGTTGTTGTTCTATCATTTAGTGTTATATTACGTTTCAAGGGGAATTTCTTTTCTGGCTCAGTGCATTTGTCGTTCTGTGGATTTCTTGAACCTTGATAAGCATCTCCTCATTGAGGTTAGGGGAATCATCTTCTAGGATTTTTATTGACAATGTCTTCTGTGCCTTTGACATTCTTCTATCCCTGATATTTCTAGATTTTGTAGTTTCATACAGCCCTAGATTTCTTGGATGTTTTGTTCCTGGGGGTTTTTGAATTACATTTTTTTTTTCTCTAACTGAGGTATTCATTCCTTCTATCATGTCTTTAATGCCTTAGATTATCTCTTCCATCTCTTGTAGTCTGTCAGAGATGCTTGCCTCTGAGGTTCCTATTCAAGTTCCTAAATTTTTCAGTTCCATTTTCCCCTGAGTTTGGGTTTCTTTATTCATTCAATTTCCTCTCTCAGTCTTTAAGTTGTTTTATTAATTTATTTCCACTCTTTGTTTGTGTTTTATAGAATTATTAAAGGGATGTATTCATTTCTTCTTCAAGAACCTCTATCGTATTCATAAAGGATGTTTTAAGGTCTCTTTCTTATGCTTCAGCTATCTTGGAGTATTTAGGGTAGGGTTGCTGGCCTCTAGTGGAGACATATTGTCCTGACTGTTATTGGTTGTGTTGTTACACTGGCATCTAGGCAGCTGGGTTTGGGAAGGTGGTAATTCTAGGTGTTGCTTTCTGGTCTTGCTTTTGTTGGGTCAGTGTTTCGTTCCTAGGTTTTTGTTGCCATCTCTGGATTTTAGGAGGGTTTGGTGTCTGTGTTTTTCCTGGTAAGGGATTCATGGATCTTGCCAGGTGTGACCAGTGGCTACTGGGAGTTCTGGAACTGACACTTAAGAACAGGCATGTGCTAGTGGGGGTAAGGGATCCACAGGAGGGAGGAATGCAGGGTGTTCCACCAGGATCTATTTAGTTCCCTGCAAATGGGGGTAGAGAGGTAGGCCAGGCCTCAGCATGTAGTCTGCTGCAGAGCTGGGGAAGCCATAGGGCATTGGGTTTGGAGGAGACCTGGGAGAGTAAAATCTGAAACCTGTCTTCTGCTGCTTCATTGGCCTAATTGCCTCTCTGGCAGACTTGACTGGCAGGTTCCCAGGAAATGCCTGCTGGGGATGGGGCTGGGTCCACATACAAGTGTGGAGGAGAAGATCTGTTTGATCTGCTGGTGATGGGGGCAGAGAAGAAGGGGAGATGATAGCAGATGATGGACTACAGAGCTGGGGGTATGAGTAGGGGACTGGATTTGGAGGAAGTGAAATCTGCACTTAGCCTACTTGCTTCTCTCAGCTGTCAGTTTTTAACAACACAAACCTTCTGATTCTGCTAAGGGTATTCGCCTCTCTTCGTTGATATCATGCACATCATGCATTCCCTCGTTGTACTACTTACTACACGCATATCATTATGTTTTTATCAGTTTTTACCACTTGTTTTCTAACCCTCTCTATGACTGAACTGTTTGCTATTATATTTCTAGCACCCAAAGAGAGCATGATATGAGGCAAGAATCGATTGCTTGCTTAGCAATTTAGCGTGCCGAAATAATTTCAACATATCCATCTGTATTAACCAGTTGAAGCAGTGACATACTGTCTATGACATCATTTTGAACAGTGCCTCTTTTACAATGGACTTTCCAGGGTATTTCGAGGAGCTGAGTCCAGCAAAGCAAAGCACTACAATGAATTAAATAAGAATGTGACACCTACAGAGCCGAAACAATAGCACAGTGGCTGAGAACACTGGATGCTCTTCTGGAAGATCAGAGATTGGCTCTCAACATCCATGTGGTGGCTCAGAAACATATGGAACTCTAGTTCCAAGGGACCCAAGGCCTTTTTTAACTTCTGGGCCCAGCAGGCATGCATCCTATGCAGAGTCATTAATACACAAAAAAATAATACAAAATACATTTATACATAACAAAAGAACAGAGCAACCAGAAAGCATCGTGTTACCATATTTATTCAAAATGCCTGCTTGTGTTTGTGGTTTCTGTGAACTAGTTCATGGTAGCTCATTCCAATGAGCTTTGAAGAGCTTTCCACTCTGATCTCTGAAATGGCATGCTCACCTCGTGTTGTTTTTGTTATCATTGTTTTTAGTTTTGCTTATCAATGTGCATACACTCTCTGAGCTTTCAGAATTTCTGGTTTGGTGGGTTTTGTTTCAAATTGAAAGTTCTTAGCCAACATTATTTAATTATGTCTTTCTTGTTTCTTTTTCTTATTTCAGTGTATCATACTGTTCATGCTCAGCCTGTGGCAATTTCTTGAAAATGTCCTATGTTTATGTCCTTACAAGTTACATGTTTAGCAGCTTTTTCTCAAGTAAAATCCAGGAAACAGACTATTGGTTCACATAACAAGTTGGAAGAATGCCAAAGGATTCTTGGGGGGGCGGGGAATGACGTGCTTTGGGAAAACACTTCACAGTTTCATTTTGAAGTCCAAAAATAAGTAGGGTAAGTACATGGACCAGTATTCACAATAATATCCTCAGCACAGATTAGACTCTGTGTTCTAGACCAACTCATCTCATTTTGTCATGATGTCAAAATAAGCATTTTAGCCACATCAGCAACAGCTGTGTGTCTGACACAGAGCCAGACTGAGCTATGTGAAGGTCAGGTGTCAGTAAATTGCCTGAAGAGTATGCAGAAATTGAAGGTGCAGATGCCACCAACTCAAAATATCCAGCAGGCGGAGGAAATTACTGATCTAGAATGTGCTTTACAACACCACCATCGGGAACGTGATAGGAACTATTCTCTCCGGGAGCTGGGGCTGTAATGTAGGGGACAGAGCTTGTACCTCACATACAGGGGTGTCACAGGGGTGTTTTAGGTGCACATCCAACATTGCAAAATAAGTAAATATGAATAAATGAACAAAATTTATACTAGGAAGAACTTCCCTTCTGTGTCGGTGCTGGGAAATTTATGGGTAGGATAAGAACTGTGAAACAGAGTCACATCCCTTTTCTGGGAAGAAAAACAAAACAAAACCAGTCAGTTAGTTTCTGGTCCTCAGTATTTACCAGGCTAAGTTTCTCTGGAAAGATATGACAAGGGATATGGAAGTGACCTCAAAATTAAGCCTTAGACCTTTAATGGACTTGGCCTGCTGTCTCTCAAGTCGTTCCTAGGATCTTAAAAGTCCAGCCTCACTGCAACTTGGCAGGCCATGTTTTGTGGCTATCCACGGGAGACCTGCCCTTTCCTGAACTGAAGTGGAGGAAGAATGGATTGTGATGGATAGGAACAGGGATGAGGTGGGACGAGGGATTGGGAAGAGAGGAGGGCAGGGAAACCTTGGCAAGATGCGAATAGCTAAATAAATAAATAAATTATTCTTTCATTGAGTTTCCCTCTCCCTGTTTTACCCTATTGATTTTTGATCATAGCCTTGCAAGTACCCATGAGAGCAATTTTAAAACCCTTTCTGATTGTTCCAACATCAAAGTCACACTTGAGTCTGATTTGATCTTTTCTCTTTTCCTCTTTTATTTCTGCATTTGAAGAGTCATTTCCAGTATCTTACAAAGATCAACATTTACATATTTATATATTAGCTTTATTCAATTAATGGTATTTGGTTAAGATTCATGCTGTAATGTATGACTTCTGGCATACTGATAATTCATATTAGTTTTTCTATATCTATCTCTTTTGCATGACGCACAATGAGTGTTCAATAGTTTTAGTTGTTGCTTAAGTCTAAGATTACTTAATGAATTTGGATTTGTTTTTTATATTTCCAGCAAACGGAGAAGGGCAAACTGTTCTGGACAGTGGCATGTGTAAAATGGCGATGATTATTTTAAAAGAATGCACTTATGAGTCGTATGTTAGACAAGAGTGGCGGAGCGTGACCCATGCAATACTGAGTAGAAGGGAATAAGTACAGAGAAGTAGGAAGGCAAAGGCAACAAAGGAAGTACTTGTCATGTCTTATGGGATCAGATCAAAAGATGCAACATGGGTTTAAGCAAAAGCTTATTGCTGGGTTTGCATCTGGAGAACATTCTGGCAGAGGTGTGTGCCCTAGAAGTCAGAGGTAGGAGATCACCATTGAGTTCCCTTTTAGACCACAATTTACCCAAAGGCCATTTTTTTTCTTCCCTCATGTTTGTCTGAAGTCATTATACTTCTAAAATGCTAAACCATTGCCCCCCCCCCAGGGTCAGATAAAAAGATGCGATGCAACATCACCTGGCAAGCATTTGAGCGTGCCCATTTTTGGGTTAGCGTGGTGAAATGAAAAATAAATCAAGCAATGGATTCTTAATTCTGAATTAGTCTCATTTATTATAATATGGATCATATCAGGTACATAGTGCTCCCACTTGAGAAATATTGACTGCAATGTGGGCGGAGATTTTACATCAAGGAAAGATAAAAGCAACTCACAATGTGAAAGGAAGTTTGCATTAACTCAGACACAGTGCAAAGAAGAAAGGGCAGTTAATACTCAGAGAGAAACCAAAGTTCAGCGTGTTGCGATTTTAATCCTGGATCCGCACCACTGTGGTTCACTAGAACTGCGCTCACTGGGCAGAGCAAGATGGACGACAAGCGCCGAACACACGGGTCACTGGTTGGCAAACACCCGAGCCAGGCTGCAGAGGTCTGAGGCTGTTTGACACAATGTGAATGGCTTGAGGGCCGTAAGACATACAGCCTGAAGGCCTGCATGCATAAGGGACAATGCCCATGGGTCGGCAGCTGTTGGATACACAAGGAAGTGGGCGATAGCAGCCCGCAGGGCGGCAGTTGCTGAAGGAAGGGCTCACTGGCCGGTAGCTGCTTGACACATAGCTCCCAGGCCTGCAGGATGCTGGGAGGCAGACACCAGAGATGATGGATGAAACAGGAAGATAGCCAGAGCCCTGGCAGGGTCTGGACACATAGTACACAGAAGAGCAACAGGAGTTCTCATAGCTGCTGGCCTCGTGGCTGCCTGGCTGGCCACTGGAAGGCTCTCCAAAGGTCTCCGGGCAGTTGTCCATGACCCAGGTATGATCTTGACAGTTGCTGGGTATGCAGAAGACCTCTCCACAGCCCATGTTTGTAGAGCAGAGGGCAATGGAAGGGTTGGCAGGGATATGGCAGGAATTTCTCAGTGATCCCGAGCTGCAGTTTCCAGAGCAGTTGTTACGGCCAGCCATGGTGAGGGTTGGAGAGCGGTGGTGGACTAAGGAAAGACGTGAGCAGATCGGTGTGATTCTGACTCCCGCTGGCCTTGTCCCTTTATATATTCTCAGAGAGTGGCAGTTCTGTATGCACTCATCTTCCTTGTTGTTTGAGGCAGCATCTGAACTCTATTATGTCCAGGAAGTAGGGCTCCTGCCTCTCATAAAACTGGATGATCCCTGCAATACCTGCCATCGATTGAGTGTAACTATAAATCAGTGTGACTGGATTTTAATAGGGTCCTCGGTAAAGTTACACCAATCCAAGCAGACACTTTGGAAGGCTATGAACTCGCTCTAGTTCTAACCACCAATGCACAAACATTTGTCTTAGCATTCTCTCCTGGAATTGCCTCTGTAAGTTGAAGCAAACTGCTTTGAATAATGGCAAGTTTTACATCACTCACTGAAATGTAATTCCATTCTTTTTGTACATTGGGAAAAAAAATTCTAGGAAGCATGAGGTTTACAAAAGAAACTAATTTTTTTTTCAACTTTTATGATCAAAAGAATTTAAAGGCCGTAATGTAAAAGACTCGTGTGTTTTCCTTTGCTTCAACATGTGAACATAAAATAGTTTCCCTTGAAAACTTGTTCATTCAGGAAATGAATGCTTGCTTCATTAATTTCTATAAATGAATAAACAGTCATTTGAGATGGTGTTTCATCTGTGATACTTTTGAATATAGGTAATGAGCCCGGGTTCAGTTAAAATGATGGATTCCGGTTTGAACAAGGGCAAATACATAGAATTCCACAAAGAATGCTGGACAAAACTGGCATTTATCACAAATTCGACAGACTGTGTGTGTTTCAATGTTATGTGCATTACAACCAAAAAATATCTGCCTCGAAACAAAGAAAAGAGCTTATGGTGATAACCATGACAGTGTTGTGTTTTATTTCATACATTCCATCTGATCTCAATTTCCATAAAGGACTACATGCATGCATTGGTTGGCATAAATAATATTAGAGTGAATGCAAACTTTCCTTAGGTTTGAATACTTGGAAGACTCTTCAGAAACTTGTATGTCTCTACAAGCTTGTTTTAAATGCATGAAAATGGTCTGATTCCACTATCCCTTTACATTTCTCACCCTCCGGCATGTCCAGTAGCTCCAGTGACTTTTTTTAAATGGGAATTTAAATTATCTGTTGAATCTCAATTCTGTCCCTCGTGGCTAAAAATTCAATTTAAATCACAGCACTTTCTTCTATCTTAATGTTCAATGGCCATGGCCACACTTATTAAGTCTCCTTATTCCCAGGAGAGTAGAAAATATGAAATAGTACATTGGCTTTTCTACAGCAATACAGGTCTCTTTTACCAGCAGGGTTATGTGTGAAGATGAAGTCATATACACTCTAAGGTCTTATATTCATGTAATGAATTTGTCTCAGAATAAATCAGAAGCCATTAGTCTTGGATGGTTTGTGCATGATGTGATTAAAGAACCCTATCCTAATATCTCATCACTGAATATTCTGTACTCAGTGGCTAAGTTTCCTTCTACAATCTTGGACACATCTGATGAGTAGCACTAGTAATAGGTACAGCCATATTTAGGTGTATGTCCATCAAATTCATGTTTAAATGCTCTTTACATGTGCTTATCTCTAATATAACCAAGAGCCCAGCCTGCATCATCAATGCATCCCTAAGGTGTATTTACATGCATGGATTTCATGTGCATCCTATGCATTCATGGGTGTGTTTTATTTTCTAAAGGGAAGTTTTACAGGATTAGTAGTAATGAGTGATTAGTCAGCACTTAGCTAATGACACATGGTGGCACAGACATGCATATGGATGCTCTTCAATTCATCCTTATAGTTTTAGAATAAAATTGTACTGTTTCAAGTACTCACTTCTTGAATATAGAACATTAGAGTAATAGACATTTAAAAAATGCAGGTAAACAATCTAATTTGGTACCACACAAAGATTAATTGGTACTATCACCTAATAAATGTATAAATCTGGGAATTAATTAGTTTATGTATCTTCTGTCAATGTCAGTATCACTTTTACCTACAAATATTCATACAAAATTCCACAGACTTTCAGAAAAGTAATTCCTATAGACTGAATAATGCCAGTTCATAAGGGCTTATTTGGTCCAAATAAGGCTCCTATAACTTACAGATAGATAGGCTCATATGACCCTAGATTTCAGAGAGTTAAAGAAAATGAAAACTCATGTAGTCCCCCAGATTAATCCACATTGTTGCTCTAGAGTCAATGACCCAGGGACCTGACCACTCTTACTTTACAGAGGATACTATGAATATTTCTGTCCTGGACAACTAATCATAAGCTCATTCAAAAGAATGGTGTGCCAATAAGTGACAGAACCCATTGTTTTACCTATTTGTTAGTTTGGAACATATTTGTCAAGAATCCAAGATTTAGCATCTACCACAGAATGAGAGAAGCAGTAACACAAAATAAAATAGTCTTTGTTCCAGGAAGACCTCATGGGTGAACCAACCGGCGCCATGTTTGGTAAGTCCCATAAATGATGCACAGTGAAGGCAAACAGAATCTACTAAGTTTGACTAAAAGTTGACATATTATACTGTTATGGATAGAAAGAAATGACACAGGAATCTGGGAAACACAGGAACAATTCAGACAGTAGAAAAAGACACAGACACTGAAAGAAAATTGACAACACAGTTCTGTTTTTTTGTTTTTTTTCTTTAAATTTGAAACAAGGTTGTTTTACATGTCAGTGGTGTCATTACATTTAGGTTGGCTTGCTGGATGTCTTTGTGTCGTTAGGGAATGAATTAAGGTTCTTTGTAAAGAAATAACCAGTGTCTGTTTTTAGAAAAGGATGCCAATGATAAAGCACCTATTCAGGTCTCCAAGACCACACATTTCCTCCATCTTCAGATTCTGTAATTCGTGCTGCCATTTACATTTTAATTTGCAAATCCTTTATTGCCATCTGTAACTCCTAGTCCCACTGACTCCTGTTTTACATGAATGTCGTGATGAGATTTACATTCCCAAAGTTAATTATATCATGAAACTCTCCCCCAAAACAATCACGATTTCCAGTTGCCCATAGAGAACAAGCCAGGCACTGGGCCAACCCCCCTCTGCTTCCAATGAGTTTCATAGACATTCTTGGTTTGCCTGTTCATGTCTACGATCACATCACTTCCTCTTTTCATGTCTTCTGCTAGATTGGCATGCCCATTAAATCCCTGGGAATAACCACAATTTTATTGATCTAAACTTTAAGTAATTTAACTCCTTTTTCATAATTACTTCTCAGACTATTCCTGCCAAACTAGATTTCTCTAGTCTTTAACGACATGTAATTATCATTGCTTAACATCTTACAGGCTGTGCTACCCAGCTCCCTGCTGTCTGTGTCTATTTACCTCTTTTCCTGTGCTGTGTGTAGTCTACCTCTCTCTCCCAACACACATAGGCTTATGCACAAAGAATGCAACTACTTCACAGGCAAAAAATTTCTCATCTTATTTCCCAACTATAATATGGGACTCAAAGTGGCTACCACTTACTGTGGCCTTCCTGTCATTATCACATACCAGACACTATTTTATATGTTTTACAGGTATTACTTAATTTAATTCTCATCACTGCTTTACTTGAGTAGGCATGATCACTATGGGGAACTTAGTTCATCATTAGTAAATATTACGAATAATAAGCATCATAGCAATCACAAAATATGCCCTTGGGTTTCTTCATCAAATGAAAGTTAACATTTACTAATTTAATACTCTCTCTAGTGTACTTTTCTTACCCCTTATCTGTTTATACCTGGACATTTAGATTACTAAAAATGAAAATAGGAGATAAGTGTCTTCCTGTTTTGAGACGCTTATTATTCGATCATGAACGGACACTCCCTTTCCCTAAATCCACCTGTCTATGTCTCTCTCTTCTCTCTCCTGTTCTCGTTCACACCATGCTTAAATTTTTATTAAAATTGTTCTTTGATGAACTTCAATTTGTTTAAGGTAAAAAAAATATAAACACTGTAAGAAGTCAAGAATGCTCCATAAGCTTTGCCCTATTTCTCGCCTGCATATTCTAATATTTCTGCTAATAGTCACCCTGGCTTGGCTTAGGGAAGCACAATATAACCTAAAGAAAACACCTCCTGTACTGTATCATGTCTAAAACCACCAACTACAGTTCACTACATAGTTAATCCCCATCCAGCAAATAAGAATTTGGAGTCAGTTGGTTAGGACATAATATATCATTAACTAAATTTTTCCTGTACTATAGCAGTATTAAGTATAGAAATACATATGTATTTATAAAAATATATTTTTATATAAAATAAGTTCATACAAGTTATAGCGGAATTCCACACCTTCATATCTTCTTCCACATGCACTCACACATTTTACATGATATTAATAAAAAAGAGACCTGCTCCATTTAAATGAACACTTCCTCTCAGAATCAATCAAAGACCCTAAGGACAGAGGTTTCTATTCCTCCCATGACTAAGTTCTTGAAATGTGTTCATTTGTCTGCATTAGGTCTTTAGATTTTTCCTTTCTTTACACATATTGATATGTTAACTATAAACGGCTTTTATTTAAACATTTCTAGGTTTTTCTGACACAAAACTGAAAAATAGGAACTGCATGTGGTTAAAGTTTACAATGTGATGTTTTTCTATATATATGCACTTTGAAGCCACAACAACAATCTAATTACATTCCTATCACCAAATATAGTTAGCAGTTTTTATTTCCTTTCAAAAAAATCGCTTTAAGACTTTCACACCTGTAGACATCTTTCCCTTGTAAGTCTCCCCAAACTCTCTCATAATGTATCCCCAACTTCATGTCCTCTTTCTGTTTGTCTTACTGAATCCAGTTAGAAATGTCTGCATGTTGATCAGTGTGGGGATATCCACTGACCCAACCTAGCAGTGGTCACTCCCCAAAGAGAATGACTCTCTGTGCCAGCT